GATCAATGTATTGGTGGATTGATCCACGAATTCAAATGACATACAAGTCTTAGACTAAAATGTAAATTTTTCATTTGGATCAAATGAATTGGATTTAAATGGATTGAATTAGATGGATAATTTGGTGGATGGATTGGATTGGATTCATGGATTTGGATCCTAATTGCCACCTGCCGTCCTTGCTGCGCACTCCGCTAACTGTGAATTGGACTAACCAACGGACATAAATATCATTCTTGCACATTCTCGACCAACTTATTCTAATACATGCGGCCTGGTGGACTTTGGTCGTTTGGTTTTGGTGATAGTTAAATTGATGTATTGTTATCAATGCATGCATAATAATATACACGTATATAAGAAAATTGGTGTATTGTAGTTTACATCGTTTGGTTTCTGTGATAGTTATTCAAATATTGTAATAAGTTATATTACTTTTTGGATGAAATGTCACTTTTGCCCTTTGTTTTTAATATTAAAAAAGCAACACACATAAAAAAGTAGGGACATAGTTGGAACAAAACAAAACCTAACAATTTCTACCAAACAATCTCAACCAAAACTTGAGATTTAACTATCACTCATTTGAGTGATAATTTGTGTCAAATCAAGCAAACAATGCATGTATTTTTTATGCAGAAAATTAAAAAAAATGATACATTGTAACTATCCCAACCAAACTATCACCAAAACTAAACGACCCCTAAAATATCAGTAATTGTTCCGCAAATGCATTTCAACTATCCAATTCATAATCATACAAGTATGAGAGCGCAAGCACGCCCTTATGAGTTATGCCCAAGCCTTGTGTCTTCCTGTGCAGATGAATGCACAACAGAAACTCACTCAATCTCCTTCCTTCAGAACAGTAAGGTTTAAAAGGGGGAAAAAACAAGCAAGAAAGAAAACATCTTCCATCTTGTTTTAGGTGGAATTTTGCGTGATCAATGCACCTCGGTTTCAAGAAAACAGAAAACGATATTATTCGGTTCACATCTCTTCAAACACTGTTCGAACAAGGGTATTCGATGCATACATTCAAGGATTTACTTACTGTTACCTCTACTCATATGGAAATTCCTTGAGAGCTCCACAACTACTGACTACAACTAACAGAGAAGCCTCGTTGGAGGGTCCCTGATGCTACTGATACGGTTATTGTTCTAGAGAGAAAAAGATAAATTTTGACGAGACTATTTGTGATTTGATTTTGTATGTCCTTCCTCCAGAGTCTTGTTGCGAGTTTTGTTGTGCCTCGTCCTCTAACCGCCTTTTCTCTCTCCACCCAAAAATTAGCTCCATGTAGCATCCAGTAACTTCTCTCCAAGCGTCCTTTGCAAGTCAGCTGCTTCTTCTGGTAACCACCTTCGACACGTCATCATGTCACTGGACAATCAACCCTACGTACCATGGATAATCAATTGGATGGTCACCTTACACCAAACGGCTTGGATGGTAATTGGTAACCATCTTAAATGGTCGCCAATACCCTAGCATGGAGGGCACCATCCATTTAATAGGTGTGGATAGCGTCCATGATACGGGATGACATAATCTTTGTGGGTGGATGGTATACATGATCCTGGACACTACCATCCATTATAGGATTTGGATGGTATCCATGTTGTTGGACACTATCATCCATTATTGGATTTGGATGGTATTTTTGATGTTGGAAACTACCATCCATTATTGGATTTGGATGACATCCATGATGCTGGACATTACCATCCATTATTGAATATGGATGGTATCCATGATATTAGACACTACCATCCATTATTGGATTTGGATGATATTCATGATGTTGGATACTACCATCCTTTAATCCACGACTCAACTTGATAAATTGGACCATCCATGTACACATGGGCCAGGGGTAAATGTCACATTTTGTCATTAAGATTACTAAATCGTGTCATGTTTAGTCACTAGAAAAATTTAATATCAATTTTGGTCACTCGAATTACTGAAACAGGTCAAATTTAGTCACTCTCCCATTAGCCTCCGCCCAACTCCAATCACTCGAATTACTGAAACATGTCACATTTAGTCACACGAATTACTGGAGCATGTCACATTAGTCAGTCTCCCATTAGTTTCCGTCTGGAGTTGGACGGAAACTAACGGAAGAGTGACTAAATGTGACATGTTCCAGTAATTCGAGTTACCAAAATTGATATTAAATTTTTCTGATGACTAAACATCACAAGATTTAGTAATTTTAGTGACCAAACGTGACATTTACACCATGGACCAGTTACTTAAATGGACCAAACTGTTCATACATGTAATAATTAATGAAAATTATTTTGGCATGAACACAAGAATCAAGGCATCAATTATTCCAGTCACTGTTTATGATTTGCAGGGGAGAACCAGAACAACCACATTGTTGTGTCTCATTGTATGACTCTCTACATGGAATCACAAAGAATAAAAAGGAAGAAGCTTTCTTTGAACTGCATTAAGCTGGTTTGGTTGTTTTCTCCTGTTCGTTACTCGAGTGTTTCAAGTGGAAAATGCCGCTGAGTCCTCTACTTCTGGCAAGTTGCTCTATTTCATCCATTTTTCGTTTCAGGGACTCCACTTCTTTTGCCAAATCTTCATCTCTCTGTCTCATTGCCTGGCAGAGTGAATAAAAGCAAGTATCTTAGTCAAAGTAGAAATACTTCAGCTTGAAGTTTACAGATCGTTGTTATTTCAACTTATCAGAAAATATCAATCAATGGTTACATAGGCAGATCGATTGGAATGTGGGTTAGCATCGATAACGCAAAGAGATAGAGCCTAACATATACAGACTACAGAGGATATGGCTGGTCTAAAGATCAGAAAGGCATTAGGGGTTGGATGGTGAGTGTTGACATAGCCCAGAAGTAGCTGCAATGTTGGATTTGATTATGGTTGGACCTAAGAGTTAAAAGGGGATTGGCATTGCCATTATGATAATTTATTCCATCAAGACAAGGTTTCCCTTAGACTAACCAATTACCAATCACAAGCTAAACCCAGCTCTCCAGGAGAAATAAGTGGTGTACTTCACTAGTCGACCATGTCCTCTAGCCTACTGAGCAGCTGGAAAACACCAGTACACAAATGCTGGAATCCAATTATCACAAGGATCGGATAGATTGTTCTCTTTTCATCCTTTCCCTTGATTTCAGTTTCTATCCCTTTCTATCTTTCCATCTCTTTCCTGGTCAAGAATCTAAGCTATTCCTTCTTCTTTCTATACTGTATCTAGCTTCTGTATCCAAAGACAGCGCTCTTTCCAATTTACTATAGCGATTGTGATTATCCAGGTTTCCCTTGCAGGACAGATGATGATAAACAAAACTTAATGTCTCCTATGAGGTACATCAATTAAGTCGATTCATTTGCTTGCAGAAAGATAGAACTAAACCAAAAATGGTGGATGGAGACATGGAATTGTGGAAACTGAGATAAATTGTATATTAGCCTAAAAGAGAAAATGTAAGCAGATCGATTTCGAATAAGTACCTCTAGTACTTGCAATCTTGCTGCTTCTTTTCGAGCCTCTGATTTAGCACTTCTCTGTACCTCAAATATAACAACAACTCCTGCAACCTAAGCAAGACAAAAAAGGCCATGCATCAAAAACTTGTCCAAACAACATGTTTCGATATAGACAGCCATTACAAGGAACAAACTGCAACACCATTGACAGCATAATCTCTACTTCCACCACCAGATTGCAGCTACTTGTAACTAAAGTTTACAGGTTTACAAGGACCACACCGGACCAAAACACAAAGCTCATGGTTCGACAAACACAAGGCCAAGTATCTTCACCGTGCACAAATTGGACCCCATTCTAACCCATTGGCTGCTGATTGCTATTGGCAAACTTAACAATTCAAATTGCTTCCCATTTCGACCCACTGAGGGCGACAGATTTACATTCAACAATTCACATATCACACGAATCAAAAGCGCTAAACCCTCTAAAGCGAATGGGAAAATCAAGAACAGAACGCCAACCGTGAAAACGAATAACTCGCCGATGAGATCGACGGCGGCCTGGACAGCTTTCTCCTCGTTCAACGGCCGAATCTCTGCTTCAGTGGCGTGGCTGTAGATCCTCCGTTGCATCCTCGTCGAGATTCGGTGATTAAACTGATCACCCGATTTTCCACAAAGTTAAGCCCAAAGGGGAGAAAACAAAATTGAAGAGAAAACCAAATGGCGGGTTCAACGCGAACCTGCGCCATGCTGACGATGATCTGGCGGAACTTAGGGTGGTAAGCAGCCTGCTGCTTGAGCTTACTGGCTAGCGGCTTGCTGAGCGTCTTGACGGCCAAGGTCCCGAGCTTTAGCAATGGCAGCACCATTCCGACTCTTCAATAAACCACTTTCGGCGACGAGACCACCAAATGAAATAGGAAAATCGGCTAATTGGATGACATTTCTAGGTTTACGGGCTCCATTTTGATGAAGATTTTGCTTGATGAAGAAGGCGGAAATGAGATGGGGCCAAAGAATCACGGTGACTGCTGACCGGCGAATAATAGTCAGATCTCCGATTGCGCGTAAAAGAATAATAATCTAGTGGAAAATGCGAATGTAGGAAACTGATGAGAGTTGAGACTGGAAATCGGGTCGGGTTCGACATTCTGGCCCATTCAATTTGGATTCACTGAATGGACATATTGGGCTTGGTTGGAGTATGCGAATGAGAATGGTTGAGCTGGACTTTCATGGGCCGTACATGGTAAGCCCGTTTTTTCTGAAACATAGACAGTTCACATTTCAAACTATCCATTTCGGTTTTGGCGCGGCCGGCTAACTTTCAGTTCCCGCTCTCTCTCCAAATCTCGAAATTCGAAATTCTTAAACTTCCCACTGCCATGTCATCGATCCGCGTCAATTTTTCTTCATGATTCAACAACAGCCGTCCATAACAAGTTTTAGGAAGCAATCTAATCCATTCACTATTCCACGTCAACAGTCCGGAACTTAAACCATTTCCCACCGGACTACCACACTCTATCCAACGGCCGCGATCTCTTCCCCATCAAAATAAATACTCTTCTTCTTCTGCTTCATGATTCACATCCATCAATTTCCCACTCTCAAATCTTCAGTAATCCTAAATCTTCAGATTCTTCGCAGAAATGGCACGTACTAAGCAAACCGCTAGGAAGTCCACCGGAGGCAAGGCGCCGAGGAAGCAGCTGGCGACCAAGGCGGCGAGGAAGTCGGCTCCGGCGACCGGCGGAGTGAAGAAGCCGCACAGATTCAGGCCCGGAACCGTCGCCCTCCGCGAGATCCGGAAGTACCAGAAGAGCACGGAGCTGTTGATCCGCAAGCTGCCGTTCCAGCGCCTGGTTCGTGAGATTGCCCAGGATTTCAAGACGGATCTCAGGTTCCAGAGCTCCGCCGTGTCTGCTCTCCAGGAAGCCGCCGAGGCCTACCTCGTCGGTCTTTTCGAGGACACCAACCTCTGCGCCATTCATGCGAAGAGGGTCACCATTATGCCCAAGGATATTCAGCTCGCCAGAAGGATTAGGGGCGAGCGTGCTTGATTTGTTGTGAAAACTGTAATAGTATAGCTGAATGTTTCAGAATCCAGTAGTGTTCTTGGTTGTGTACTTGTGGTAGATTTGTTCTTCCTTAACTGTGCATTCTGGATGCACAAAGTAGTGTCCTGTCTTTGTTGATGGGTTAATGGAAAAGTTTGTTACTGTTTATGAATCTGATTCCAAATGCAACTCTTTTCTGCTCCGTCTCACTCTGATTCCACTCTTTATCTCACTTTGCTCTCAAGGATGTTTGTATATGGAATTCTTTTATGTAAAATTCGTTACATCCTTTCATACAAATTGATCGGCGGACCGTGGTTGAATATGGTGGCTTTAAAGGCTTGAATTGCACTCTGAATGTCAAACCAATTCTACCATTCTGAAGATATTGGTGTCTCCTTGACCTTTCAGTTCCTTTCTTGTTCTTCTCGAACCTTAAAAATTGCAGATGTGTTTGAGAATTGGGACTAACTAAACAAGGCGTCCTAATCAACTTTGCTATGGGATTTGCATAATGGATTTGGCACCTAAATCTCAAGCATCCGAAACTTGGTTCGAATCCATTATTAGTTAAAGAACACAAATTTGTAGGGCCCACGAATTTGCATATCCCAAATAAATATTGGGACTTTTAGGGACGAGGATACACATACGATAGCCCGAGACCGGATGACCAGGATTAATGGATTATGATAGAGTCGTGAACAACGTTCACTTTCCGTAAAGAATATCTCCGCCCTCAACAAGCCTAGGGTTACAGGAAATTTATTCGTAGGATAAAACCATCAGCACTTTAGAATCTAGACTTAAGAAACTAAAGCATACTTCGAAGTTTAGTAAGAAAAAGAATGAATTTTTCCATGGTGTTGTCTTTCCACCATCCGGACACACATATTTATAGTGGATAAAAGAGGGTCTCGAAGGATTGCAATCCTTCATTTTTTGCCGGTACATCCTCCCAAAATTGCAATTCTTTGGAATTCGTTTTTGGCTTAACTGCCATCCAAAATCGGCATCAGAACATTGCATCTCATTTGAAATGAAACAATGGTCAGGAAACATTGCCAATTCCATGCAATTATTGGCCATGTATTTCAAATTTAAACATTGCCAATTTTAATTTATGCATGCAAGGAAATCGTCCAAAACCAAGGGACGTGTCCTTTGGTGAAACACTGCAATGAATCCAACAATCCTCTCCCATTTTAGTGTTTTCAAAGAATTAACTAAAATTACAACATTCTTTCAACAAAACTTAAGCATAAATGAAAATATCGTGACGATTGAATTTTCATCTTAGTATATTACACTTGACAAATATTTGAATACAAAGGGTGTCTATAACGATTGAACCCATTGACTCATGAATAATCGAAGATAATATACACTTAAGTTTTCAAAACTTCAAAGCGCCTTGACACTATTATCCGCCATGTGTCCAATCCTTCTCATAAGCGCACACAAAATCAAAGTCCGGGTTTCTTGAAGCGGCTTCACTTCATGCTTACGTAGGTTGAATCTCTTATTCGTGTACCCGCATAACACACTTTTTCAAAGATTCAATTAAGAAGTTTTGAACTTCATCCTCTTCTCTCATGCAGGATAACAAGCACATACCTCGGGATGACAAATTGTGTGCTTCAATTTCTGATAATAAGCTTTCCACATTGAATTCATCCTCTAACGTTGTATTTGAGGGGAATTGGGTGTCCCATTACCAAAAATTATATGGACTTTAACCCATCCCTTTCACAGTCTTGATCACCAAGTCACTAGTTAACCACTTCGTCAAATGATCAACCAAATTATTTCGAGTCTGGTCATACTGTCTAGACACAATTCTATGAATGATCAGTTCACAGATTTTACCGCGCCTTACTCCCACATGACCGTACTTGTCATTTTCACTTGACTATATTCCTTAGCCAAATTAGCATTACTATCACAAAAGATAGTAATAGGTGAGATTGATTTAGGCCATAAACATATGTCATAAACCAAACCTCTCAACAATTAAGTCTCTTCTCTAAGAGAAATCAAGACCACACAACTTTGATTCCATAGTGAAACTTAGTGATGCAAGTTTACTTTTTAGAGGCCCAAGATATGACACCTCCCCCAAGCAAGAGGGCCCATTTTGATGTTTAAGTATCACCTTTAACATGAGAAATCCAACTGACATCAACAAACCCTTACAAAATTTATGGAAAGTCACTATAAGTCAATACAATGTGCCTTTGACATATCCTAGTACACGCCTCATTTCATTTCAAATGATGAGAACTAGGATTCATCACGTACCAACTTAACTGTTCTATCGCGTATGCGATATCTAGCATCATGCAAGTCATGCATACATCGAGCCCCCAATTTGACATGGAATACTCCAGTTGTAAAACTGATTTCCAGTATTAACCACAAGTACCATACTTGGATCCATTGGGGTCTTTAACTCACTACAATTCCTACTATGGAATTTATGCAAGTACCTTCTCATGCAGAAAAATTGAGAGAAGGACTCTTTCTTGTCGTTTCGCTTGATTCAATACACAGAATCACATTTGCCTCCCCTACGTCCTACATGGAGAATTGAAATAACAATTTTTTTTTATCAAAGTTCACTTATCTTTTATTGGTTCCAAAGATAAATAAGTCTTATACATACAAATGTACGATGACTTCATTACCAGAATCATCATAAATTGTGTACACATTTTGTCTCCTTGGTTTAAAATAACATAAACCACTAGACAAAATCACTTATCTTTGATTGGTCCCAAAGATAAATATGTCATCTACATAAAAACACAATGACTCTATTACCAGAATCATCAAACATTGTATATACAATTTTGTCTCCTTGGTTTAACATAAACCACTTAGACAAAACCACACCATCAAACCACTAGACAAATCCAAATTTGTCTAGCACTTCGTAAACGTCGAATAGAGAATTAGACAAATTAACCATTGAGTATGTGACCTACCCAAAGGAAATTTTAATTCTTCTATTTCTCCATTTTACAAATCATTCTCCTTCTTCCTCATCTTCGAATTATCCCTCTTCCAAGATACCTTTCCGGTTATGGAATACACCATGAGACTAGTACGAAGAAAACCCATCTTCTACTATCGTCGATGAAATACCCATCATCGAAAATTCTCATAATTCCATAGTTCGGAACCGGTTTCTTGTAAAGAGCGGTTCGAGCCATCGTACTGGAAAATATTCTTTACGATTGTTGGGACTATTGCGGGACAAGGGTACACGTATGATAGCCCGAGACCGGGTGACCAGGATTACGATAGAGTCGTGAACAACGTTCACTTTCCGTAAAGAATATTTCCACTCTCAACAAGCCTAGGGTTACAGGAAATTTCTTCGTAGGATAAAACTATCACCACTTTAGAATCTAGACTTAAGAAACTAAAGCATACTTCGAAGTTTAGTAAGAAGAAGAATGAACTTTCCATGGTGTTGTCTTTCCACCATCCGGCCACCCATATTTATAGTGGATAATAGAGGGTCTCGAAGGATTGCAATCCTTATTTTTTGCCGGTACATCCTCCCAAAATTGCAATTATTTGGAATTCGTTTTTGGCTTAACTGCCATCCAAAATCGGCTTCAGAACTTTGCATCTCATGGGAAAGATAAGTTCCTTCTGGTGGGAGTGGATAATAACACTAATTCATTTGAAATGAAACAATGGTCAGGAAACGTTGCCAATTCCATGCAATTATTGGTCATGTATTTCAAATTTAAACATTGCCAATTTTAATTTATGCATGCAAGGAAATCGTCCAAAACCAAGGGACGTGTACTTTGGTGAAACACTGCAATGATTCCAACAATAAATGGGATTTGACGATGCAGGCAAATTTGAGACAAATCCATCATAAATCCATGATATATTTTATCTAAACAAACAACGTACTCTTCCAAATCCATAATGCAACAAATCAACAATAAATTCAAAGGTTTTTAAAACTCAAAACCCTTATTTTCAAATTAAACAAGCAAACAAGCTCTAGTAGTCATTCTCCATCAGGCCTGGATATTCGGGTTCAATTCAACGGGCGAACCGAAATAGAATTTGTCGGGTAATCAAAATTCGAAAGTTAAACATATAGAACGGTCTCGATTGTAAGTCTATTCTATCTTTCCGGTTTCGGTATAACAAAAAACCAAACCAAAGAATGAAATTACCAAATATAATCGAAGATCCAACCTAATTTGAGTCTAGGGCTCGTCTGGAGAACGAGATTTAGAGCGTGGATTCATTCAATCCGTATATTTTTTTTTTTTGTTGTTTTTTGTATTGTGGATTTTAGATTTAAAGATTTCAAATCTATAAAATCTACGGATACCAAACCAGAGAGATTTCATATCTTGATTCGTTAGATTTTTTTTCTCTTACTTTTTCTCCTTTTTATTTATTTATCATATTAAATATATTTATCAACAAAGTTCTTAATATTTTTCGAACCACTCTAATTTTTTATTAAGGATAAACATGTTATTTAATATAAAATTAAATTTTTTATTTACATTGAATGTTTAACAATCACAGTTACCAAACAATACAAAATTTAAAATATATTTTCAACAATTCAAAGAGTTAGAATTTGGATTGTTAAACATTCATATTTTCAACAATCCAAATATGTTGACAATCTACGAATTTAAACTCATATTTTCCAAACGATATCTAATTAATCACGTCATCCAAACTCCAAAGTCCAACTAGATAATAGACAAAAGCCCAATGCGTTATTAGATTCAACGTGGGTAACCAAAGAATAACGGAAAACCAAAACATTCGGTTCTTAGGTAAATCCGCGTTTGGCTGACCAAACCCGAATCGAACTGGAGCCCTATTTGTATTGTCTCCACCGTTTGCTTCAACTTGCCATCTACAGTGTGATGATAAGGGGCAGACGCGAGCCAATGCATGTGGGGGACAAAGACAAAAAAAATTGAGGACACACAAAGCAATCACTTCTACTTCTACAGTCTACTAAAAAGCTCTGTTTTCTTTTCCTTCCATCATTTCTCACACCCACTCTTCCTTTGGTTTTCCCCCTCAATCATGAACAATCCGGCGGCAGAGTTGCTCCAAGCTCAAACCCACATCTACAACCACGTCTTCAGCTTCGTCAACTCAATGGCGCTCAAGTCAGCCGTCGAGCTCGGAATTCCCGACGCCATCCACACCCACGGCAACAACAAACCCATGCCTCTCACCGAACTCGCAGCTGCCCTCGGAATCGAACCGGAGAGGAAGACCTACCTGCACCGCCTGATGCGCCTCCTCGTCCACTCGGGCTTCTTTTTCGCCGCCGGCGAAGAAGAACCGGCTTATGCGTTAACGCCTTCTTCGAAGTTGCTGGTGAAGGACAACCCGAACTGCCTGTCGTCTTTTGTGAAGCTGGTGCCACGGCCCGAGTACGTGACGCCATGCTACGTGATGGGAGATTGGATCAACGGCGGCGGAGACAAACGTGTAGCCGAGATTTCGTTTAAGGTGGGTTTTAAGTAAAAAAGAATATATATATAGGTTAATTTTTATTACTTTTCTCATTAATACGACGTGCTTTTATATTCTGGAACATTTTAAATTGCATCTATCATATTCCAAACTGGAAAAAATGTATCCGCTTTATATACAATGAAAACTCATTCATGAGTTTAATGATAATGTAAAGGATATGGTATTTAACGTGGTTCTTCCTCACGCGGTGTGTGATGCTCACTTCCACAAAAAAGATAGGGTGTTTTTTATTAGGTTATTCGGCGACTACTGGCCTTACATCCATATATATATATATATATATATGCCCATCTACAAAAGAATCAATTAGGGTTTTAATTGCCAAAGGTAACATAGTCTAGTGGTGAAACTACTGGACCAATTGAGCTCTGGATGTGGGAGGTACTGAGTTCGATTTCCAGTGGCGCCACTTGAGCGTTCCCGGCGGCATCCTTGGTATTTGAGGTGAAGCCTCCCCGATGTTGGTAGCAGAAAGCCTCAGTTAGTATGCGCAGGTACCCCCAGTAGTTTAGTAGGCCCCGCTGTCGCTCAAGCGGCACGGGGGCTGAGATTCCCTGGGTTATCAAATAAAAAAAACTAGGGTTTTAATTTGTTAGAAAACATATATGGAAAACGAGTACAACAAGGAAACGAGCCTAACATGTCGCCTAGGCGTGCCTAAATGTTAGATGTAAACAGTAGCAAAATATCTCACACTTGCCTAGAATCACAAGTCTATGAACCAATATCATTGCATCTAACTCTCATTTCTAAACTTTTTTCTATCAATAACAAATGGTAAAACATAAAACATAATGCGGAGAAGTGAGTAAGAAAGAAGAAGTTGTAAAATCGCAAAGCAATCTGAGAGCGAAAAAGCAAAAAAAAAAAAAAAAACTAAAGCTATATCCTAGCCTAACTCTAGAGAAATGAAGACCGTCCTCCCTAGTAGCGTATCAAAAGGTAACAAAAAAAGTTATAATGACCTGATTTTGAGACGCAACTCAGTGCTAAGTAAACGCCATTACGTAATCGTGAAGTCTTTCCCCACTGCTTTTTGCCAAAACGAGGCGTTTTCCTTCCGTTATTCTTTTATCCTAATCCGTTATGTTCTTTATCCTCGCCAGCCAAACCAAGGTGGTGCCAACAACTCATCTCGGCGAGAAGGTGGAGATGCTACGACGTCGTCGTCGGCATTCGAGAGAGCATACGGGATGCCGTTTTGGGAGTACACGGATCGAAACGCGGGATTCAACGCCCTCTTCAACGACGCCATGGCTGAGGATTCAGGGATGATGAACTTGGTCGTGGGAGATTGCTGCGGGGCGGTTTTTCGAGGAGTCGAGTCGCTCGTTGATGTTGGCGGAGGGACGGGGACGTTCGCCAGGATTATAGTGAAAGCGTTCCCCGGTATTCGGTGTCAGGTTCTGGATCTTCCTCAGGTCATCGGTCGCTTGGCGGCGGGGAATTCTTCTGGGAAGTTGGAGTTTGTTGAAGGGGATATGTTTCAGTGTGTGCCTTCAGCGGGAGCAGTGTTGCTGAGGGTAAGTTTATTTATGTTACATATATCTTTAGTTTTTAGATATATATATATTATCAGTATATTTATACTATGGTTAGGGTTGTGAGTTTGGTTTGGTTTGGTTAACCAAACCTTATGAAAAATCAAAAACCAAATCCCAAAAACCAAAATCAAAACCATTAAGGTCCTTATTGGTTTTTGGCAACCAAAAACCAATAAGGACCTTAATGGTTTTGGTTTGGATAACCAAAAAATCAACATGTACTCATACATTCATATTTCCCTCCTTTTTATTGAATAAACGTCATAATAATGGTAAATGACCATTACAAATTATTGGTTGGCATGCGTGTCAAAAGAAACAAAACAAAAAAATATTTGTTGATAAATAATTTTATTCTTATTGGTTTCTTATTGGTTTCTATTGGTTTTTCGGTTTTAACCAAACCAAAACCATTAAGTTACTTATTGGTTTAAAACCAAAAAAATGAAACCATTAGCTTTCCAATTGGTTTGGTTTCGGTTAAAACCAAAAAAACCAAAACCAAATGGACAATCCTAACTATGGTGGTAATGTTTGGTACTAAGAAAGATTATATTACGGTGGAACTATATATATATATGGTGGCGTCTTCATTGCACTCACTTTTTTTTGTGCATTCGCTTCATAATCGATCATCACTTATGATATGATGAACAATAACGCACATGAATTTGCACAAATACCATTAAATATTTACTTTAATTTGAAGGATTTAGAGTTAGGGTTAGGTGTTTACAATTTGGATTTAGGGATAGAACTCAAAATTGGAGGTCTAGGGCTTAGGGTAATCCGCTAATGAGTTGTTATCATATGTTATATCATCATATTATACTAATTCTACAAATTAAAATTCAAAATCCAACACCTTAAGACTAATTTTTGAGTTGGGTGCATTGAACGCACTCATTTTTGTGAGTACACCGAAGTAGTCTTAAGGTGTCGGATTTTGAATTTTAATTTGTAGAATAACATACGATAACAACTAACTAACTAAGTAGCGGATTAAAAAGAACATTAAGTATTTACTTTGATTTAAACGATTTAGCATTTAGAGATTTAGGGTTAGGGCTCACATTTTGGGATTTTGTGTTAATGTTCAAAATTGAAGGTTTAGGGGCTAAGTTAATGGATTGATTAGTTGAGATTCTTTGTTATATTATCATATTAGATTAATGTTACCAGTTAAAATTCAAAATTTGATATCTATGAGACTATGACTACTTTTAGAGTTGTGTACAAACCATTATTTATCACCTTTCATCATCGTCTACCAACCTATATCATGATGGTATACGGTGGTATATTTGGTCATGGAATTATTTTGCACATAAATTTGTAGATTCAATAGATTACGATGAACATGTGTCTTTTGTATAATTTTTTTTCAAAACTTGAGTGGAAATGAAGGTGGTACCAGGGTTGATACCAAATTTTTCCTTGAAATATATTGAGAATGAATATCATTTTGTACCACAACAAACTTGTTCCAACTGTACAATTTTTTTATGAGTTCCAAATTAAAACAAAGAAAATACAAGTCAGTTAAAAAATTTAGGTAAAATAAAAGGCTTTTTCATCTCACAGGTTAGATCTTACCCCACTTAAGATTGAGGAAGCAAATCTGGCTACACATAATTAAGTGCATAATAAGGGGTTATTACCTACACCTAAATTAGGTGTTACCTTCTACCCAAAAAAAAAAGGTGTTACCATCGATCAAACTTTACCAACTTACAAAAATCACCATTCGTTCAGCCGGTTCGATTTGTTGTTATTATTTATTGTGGTGGTGTTAACTGTTGGTTCAGATGATTTTACACGACTGGAAGGATGAAGAGTGTGTCAAAATCCTGAAGAAATGCAAGGATGCCATTTCGAGCAAAGGGGAGGGAGGAAAGGTGATAATAATCGACATTGTGATGGATGAGAAGCAGGAGGTGGATCATGAATTGGCTCAAACAAAGTTGAATTTTGACATGGTGATGATGTTTATGCTTAATGGAAAGGAGAGGACTGAAAAGGAATGGGAGAGGCTGTTCTTCGAAGCTGGTTTCCAACGCTACAAGGTCACTCCTTTGTTTGGTTTTAGGTCACTAATTGAGGTTTTCCCTTAGGATGAAACCACATTGATGCTACTGTTTTGGTAACCTAATCTTCGATTAATATTACGAATTGTAATAGCTGTATCTCCAACTATACTGAACATCGAGAATGAGCAAATATACTACCGTAATGGATGAACACATAATGAACATTGACGATTTTGGATAGGTAGTATTGTCATAGGCAATAGTGGCTATGATATACTACCAGTATGCATATACTTTAAATTACAGCAGTACATATTACTTTACACAGATGATTATTTGATGAGAATGCATCTTGCTGGCGATCCCTCGGCTCCAACCAGCCTCATAGGCAAGCAGTGAACGTTGTACAGTCCAGCTTCAACGTCGTCAAGCTTCATACCTTCGACGAGAATGATTTCCTAGAATAACAGAGTTACAAACCACGGTTTGTGCGCTGTTAGTTTCCAGTTCTAACAGCTAATCTGTGTCAATTGATGGTCAATAGTGAAAAGTAAAATCCTTTTTTCTTGTTTTTCTCTTACCCTGCTCTTCAGGAAAGCTAGATGAGTTGGGCGGGCGTTGACGAAGGCAGCAGCAGATAAGTAATCAACTCCTGAGATTTCAAACACCACAGGCGCAAAATTCCTAATCTGTGAGACCATTTCACATCTAATGTTGTAGAATTCGATTGGCAAGCGCAAGTTGAGATTTGGTAGCTACTTCTCGAGGGCAACTTACCAACAAGTTTGATGTCTGTGTTGTCCACAAGCCACTGTGCCCCATCGGCCATGAACCCGACAAAGCTTGAATCGAACTCCTTCTTGTACATCAAACGCCTGAAACGAAACCCACAATCGAATTTCACATTCTGTTCACATGTCGTAGTAGTAATGCAAGGGTTTCAACCTTCTTTCATTTACCTATCGGTATTCAGAGTCCTGAACAACACACGCCTTGTTCCTTTTGGGATTTGCAATGACTTCATAACTTCAGCTGTGTCACAACAGAAGCAAAACTCAGTTCACCAAAACAAAACAAAACTCAAACAAGCAAGAAGCTAAAAGTTCATTGGAGAGAAGCTATAGCAAATGGTAGTTAGCACTTACCAGTAATGTTACTGTCCCGGGGAACATCAACCAACAAGGCTGGGCCTGCAAGTAAAAATTGGTAATGAAATTCAACAGCAACACCAAAAATCTGAGTACCATTACCCTTAACCCATAACCCAATCCAAGACCAAGACCCTCCCAGAGTAAGAAACAGGGGGAAAAAATTCAAAACTGGGCCATTCTTCGGAACTCATAGTTGGAAGCGGCATTTCATCAAACACATAAAGGGCAATACGAAAAAAAAGGCCGAGAGAGAATTGATTTTACCGTTGAGGACGTCAAGGTCTAGGGACTCGAGGGTGTAGCCGGCCTCGTAGTACTCCTGGTAGAAATGTCCCGGCGTGTCGACGTGGGTACCCGTGTGTGTCCCCATCCGGTTGATCTCCCCTTCGTTCCACGTCGAGCCGTTCTTCATGCTCTGCACCAGCGTCACCAATTGACCCACCCCGCCGGCCGACCCGAACTTGGGCAGGTCGGGTTTCACCCGGTGGGTGATGTCGAACAGCCGACCGTTGCCGTACACCTCCCTCACCACCGCCGGCGGCAACCCGCCGCTCGCCGGAGACGGAGACCGAGCCGCATCCGCCGTTACAAGGAGGAGGAGGAGGAGGAGAAGCCCGAGTTCCTTCATGATGGTGCTCGATTGTTTGGCTATGGAAGAACTGAAGTAAAAAAGAGTGAAGAGAGCAAAGATTGTGTTGTTTGAAGGTGTGATATAGTAGTTATGGGGTTAGGTTAGGTGGCGAGCATGGAGGAGAAAGTCGTCGTTGGTGTGCTGTATGCATATACTAGTCAATTCGACTATGGTATTCACAAGCTACAAGATAATATTGTTATCGAGAAAATTCGACTATGATATTCACAGTTAATTATAAGCTCATCCTTAACGAAATAGGACATTAACGAATTTTATACTAGGCATTCGCGTTTATCGGAGGAATACGATTGATAATTTTATAATAATTATGATCAGTTTGATCACGTCCATCCAATAATAATAAATTGTTCAGTGTCTAAATCGAAGACTGATGAGAGACTGATTCTTCATTTCGTGTACCCATATTCCGACTATTGAAATGATCAAACCTGGAAAGCTTCAACCACCACAAAGTCCACAACCTAGACGAAAAGTACTACTTTAATAATCTCATAATATTTGTAGAAAAACTTAAGTGAAGTTTCAGACGTAAAAGGTTGTCCCTTACCATAGTTATCTATTTTGCCCTAACTCCCTATTTGTTTCCTCTCAATTTTTGTCATTGCAGATTTGCAGTAACTTATCTGGAAATTAAGGTAAAGTATTAGGTTCATTTTTTATCCCTAGTTTTATTGTGATTCTACCAAACATCTTCCTTAAGATGAAGGGTATTGAAAAATATATGAAGATCAAATATATGATGAATAGTGCATTTGATTTGATTTAATTTAGTCAAATTATCATTTCGGTTTATTTTTCTAATTATTTATAAAATTTATGCGGGCAAAAACCGAACCATGTTCAGATGGTCTGATCCAAATGTGCACTGTTGCACACCCCTAGTGATAATGGAAGAAATAGACATGTGAACGCAGATTCTATTACATATGCAAAGCAAAGACCAAAGGACTTTTTTCAGAAATAGCACCGTTTAAAAAAAATTCCAAAAATACCACATAACCCCAAAAATACTACCCTTTTTCGAAAATCGCCACCCCACCCTGAAGTTCACACGAAAACCGCTAGGTGGGGACGCGGTTTTCGACTAAAACCGCTAGGTTACGGGTAGGGCTGCAAATGAGCCAAGCCGCTCGCGAGCAACTCGGCGTTCGAATCGGAAAAAAACTCTTTCGACACTTGACTCGTTGTTTAACAAGCCGGCTCGCGAGCCTACTCGTTAGTAAATGAGCCAACTTTGAGCTAGACCATGCTCAGCTTGATAAGCTCGTGAGCTAGCTTGATTCGGTGGCTTGTTGAGCTAAGCTCGCGAGTTGGCTTGTTTAAACCTTGTGGAACGATTAATTACTCCTTTGAATATGAAAATTATCTTGTTAATAAGGATGTGTATGGAAGTTAGATGTTATTTTTAGTTTCTAGTGTTTTTTTATCATTTTTAGTTTTCAATGTTCTTATTTGTACACATTTTTCAGCAAAGAATGGTATCAAATCGAGCTCATCTTGAACCGAGCTTGTACTCAGCTTGACAAGCTGTGTTAATGAGCATTTATGAACAAAATTCGACTCGAGCTGGATTATTTTTAATCGAGTCGAGCTCGAGCTGGATGTTCAAAATTCGAGTTCGAGCCGAGCTCGAGCTGAAAAATTTATAAACAAGTCGAGCTCAAGTTAAGTAAAAACTCGACTCGACTCGTTTGCAGCCCCAGTTACGGGGCGGTTTTGAAAACCGCTGGGTGGGGCGGCGGTTTTGGGCCATTTTTTTCGATCAACTCCTAACTTAGGCTGAAACTTCAAACGAACGTAACTTTGCACTCGGGTATCCGATCGTAGCGATTTTTCTTTTAATCCGCATAACTTTTCGAGATCTTGCCAGATGCAGACGACCGTAGGCGGTTTGATCCCGCCTTCGTCTCGAAAAAACGTCATTTGCTACCCCGAACGAGCCTTTTTCGCTTTCGTCAAACTTTGGGCGGCCATAACTTTGTGCTCCAAAATCCGAACGTCGTGAATGTTTTTTCATCTCGCATAACTTTTTAAGATCTACAAGTTTTACAAAGATGAAACTTTCAAAACAAGAATTAGTTTTGGATATACGGGATCTTGGGAATAACTTTACCTTTACTTTTCACGAATCCATGTACATTTCGAAATTATGATTATGTTAAAAGTTAGGGTTAATATTTTCGTATGGCCTGAACTTTGACCAAAGTAAACATCTTGGCCAATCTTTTCGATCTATAACATCCTGGCCCGAACTATACACCAAAATAAACAATTTGGCCAAACCCGATGTTTGGCCGTTAACTTGGACGGTCAAATGCAATGACTAACGGTCAACGCGCCACGTCACTGCCAAGTCAGAAGATCTGATAAATATTTAATTTTTTCGTTTTTATTTTTGGTTTAACTAAGGTATTAGATGATTTTTTTAATTTATAATAATTTAAAATTAGGGAATGTGTGGAAATTGTGAATTATTTTAAATATTTTATGTTGACTTGGCAGTGACATGGCGCGTTGACTAACGGTCAACGCGTTTGACCGTCCAAGTTAACGGTCAAAAGTCGGATCTGGCCAAATTGTTTATTTTGGTGTATAGTTCGGGCCAGGATGTTATAGATCAAAAAGATTGGCCAGGATGTTTATTTTGGTCAAAGTTCAGGCCATACGAAAATATTAACCCTAAAAGTTATAGTAATTGATAATTTATGCGGAATCAAAAATAAAATTATGACATTCGAATTTTGAAGCACAAAGTTATGGCCGTTCAAAGTTATTGAGGATTTTTAGCGTTCAAGGATTAAAACTTTGTTAATATAAATTCTTTCAAAAGAGGAGTTGTAGAGTGTGGTGGTTTAGATGTTGGGTTGAATTTAATTAACTATTTAATGAATTTGGGTTACCTCTTGTACAGAAGGAAACAACTAAACCAATTGTGGCAACACCACTTATGAGATTTACGCGGATAAATATATATACTAAAAACTGCCGGGTGGGGGTGCGGTTTTCAACAAAACAGCCCCGGCCCCATGCGGTTCGTAATACTGCACCCGACGATGAAAACTGCCCCCGCCCAGCGATTTTCGAGAAAGGGTGGTATTTTTGGAATTTTTCGTACATGGGTGGTAGTTTTGTAATTTTTTTAAAGAGTGGTACTTTTGAATTTTTTCCAAGAACAAAGACAAAAAGAAAATAATAACATCATTTGGAAATCTTAAATTGATTAGGAGTTTATTTAGTGTATCATTTGAGGAGAATGCATTGTACTAGTCAGTAGTTGAAATTTCTTCTATACCACTTTACGAATATTAAAATTATGTTATAAATTATCAGATATTATTTGGATTAGAAAGGCTACATAAATTGGATAAATTGATAGTGAAATCAAAAGTGATTCTATCAATTTTATCTATTTATTTACTTGTAAAATTTTTATTGATTTTATTGCTTAAGATAGTTCTTGCATAACTAGAATTGGGTATTTAGTTTTGAGCGGGGCCAGAAGGACCTAAATCTTATGAGGTGAGAATTAATAACTTTTTCACTAGTTTTTTTTTTCCACAGATACAGATACAACGAGTTCGTTGTGATTTACAAGAGAGTTTCATATTTCATGTATTTCCGAGGGGGGTGGGGGGTGGTTTCGTATCACTCATAACGCCACTACATCCGGCCAAAGGGCCGGGTAATAAGCTATTACTAGTATAATACTGAACGATGTTACCCTGTATTAGTTCTACGAACAGAGGATGATTGACTGGTTTGTTCAATGATCATCCTGCCTAACTGGAACCATGTGGCCAGGAAACTTCACGTTCTTCCACTACCACTATTTTCAAATTCCTTCAACTAACACATTGCCAAGCTATTCATCCCTCAGAAAACTAAATATAGTTTGAAGTCCCACTTCTTAAGCAACCCATTGCATAAGGAATAACCCAAAAAGCTCAGCTCCTAGTTTAGCAATGGAGTTCCACTTCCAGAAGGACTACCTTGACTTGTTCTTGGTACCAAATGGCCTTCTCATTATGTTCACTTACCATCTCTACCTTCTCTACAGACACTACACTTGCCCTTCCTCCACGACCATCGGCCTCGAAGCATTCGACAGGGTCGATTGGGTTCGAACCATCGTCCAAGTAAGTCAACAATCTCCCTAATTTCCTCCCTCCCTTATGAAGGTTCGAATCAATGGCCTTAGTTTTATCTTTGTTCATCTTCTTCTCTTTTATGTGCAGAACGGCGATAAGGGCACCTTAGACCGAGCAGCATCCGTGATCACAACCCACACAACATCAGGAACTTTCTTCGCCACCTTCAGCTTGACCATGAGCTCTCTAATAGGCACATTCCTCGGTTCCTCCAGCAATTTATTCAGGAGCAATCGAGTTTATGGCGATACGAGGCCCTTTACAGTGTTCATCAAGAACGTCGGGCTACTCTCTTGCTTGCTCCTTGCCTTCTCCGGATTTGTTCATGCTGTGAAGCTTCTGGTTCACGCCAACTACCTACTGACGATGAGCACGCCGGGGAACAAGAACTTGGAGAGGAAGATTGAGTTCATGATTACAAGAGGTGGATACTGTTGGAACCTTGGCCTTAGAGCTCTCTATTTTGCCATCACTATGCTCCTCTGGTTCTTCGGGCCCATACCCATGTTTGCTTCCTGTGTTTTCATGGTGATCATCTTGTACTATCATGATATCTACATCGTGAAGCTGCATGATTCGTATTGTCAGCTGGAAGAGCCTGAAAAGTACATGAAAGCAGAGCCAAGAGCAAGCTTCAGCTATTGAGTTTTGTGGATAAAATTCGAAGATTGTTGCGAGACGTACTGAATCAAGGATGAGTGCTTGTATCTGCAGAGATGAACCCATGTACCCTAGTCGAGTTCCTCGAACATTTTCCCCTTTCCATTAACACGGAGGCAATAACCCTATACGGGTAATTGTCCGTTTAGTTGACACATGAAATGACATTCTTGCAAGTTGCAACTATTTTAAAGTCCCTGTCTAGCTGTGTGTAGGCTGTGATGAAGCATACCATCTTTGTCAACTGTTGTTTCCTTCTTTTGGCACCAAGTGAGTTGCTTGATTGACTTGCTATTACAAACTCCACGTTCTGGGATTTGATGGAAGAGCCCTTGCTTGCCCAACAAGACATGCACTTGCATCTTGCACCATTGGCTGCATCACAAACCAATCCGTTTCCTCAAATCGAACCACAAGTTGCTGAGTTCCTGGGTTACGACCACAAAATCAAAAGTTAAAAAGACAGAAGAATAAGTGATCTGGGATTTTTTTGGTTGGGTTTGCTACGATACTAGTCCTGCAGTTTTGCGTCCAACCGCATAGAACCGGACAAATTGCGTTTCGGTTTGAGCCGAATCAATTGGTTGATCATACAGTGAGACAAGTACAAGGTGCGGTGGTTTGATTAACAAAAAATACGGTTCAACGGCACTGATCGCCCATCCCTCCTGTTACACCATGATGATGTCTCTAGCCCCAATGAGATTAGCTAAGGAATGGAATGATTCCCTCCAATCAAGAATCAAACTGTTAAAGGTGAAAACCCTAATTCTACAGAAAGGAAGCACAACTCTAATTCAGCTCACGTCCAAGATAGCTGAGGTAAGGGATAGTGGAGCCAGATTTCTGAACCAGAAAGTGGGTCTGCTGAACACGTGAAACGCAGCAAGGACAAACAAACCCTAGATGGGCTGCATTCTAATTTCTAAGATATAGTTGCGTGGGAAACAAGTATAAGCAAAGCAGTTTCCAATTTCAGTTTCCTAACACGCCACCCTTTTTCACCCATCATCATCTTCAAACAACAGGCTGCCTCGGAACTGTTTTTAGCTCCTGAAAGCGATTTAGGGTAACCCTGCCTGTGAAACAGCAGCAGGTTGAAACAGCTTCTGCTGAGAATTACAGAGCTGTAGTGATAGGTTTATTGGTTCTGTTTTCAAAGCATTGCTTATTAATCATCCAAACGCCCACATTCATCATCCACGTGAAAGGAAATGGAAACGAAAGATTCAAGCTGTATTGCAGTCCTATTGAAGCAAGGAAAAGAAATACATACTGCCATATTAAACAATTCCAAGTCAAATCCTAATTTCCGGTATGAGTTTACTCCATACACTGACAATTCAGAGATATAAGCAAAACTCACCTCAATCCAATTGACTCGACCAAGTGGTGAAGGCAGAAGAAGGAACTGAGATGGAATTGCACAAGGAAGAACTCGACTTAATACTCGTCCCTCTTGCGTTGGTTATCTTGTTCAGCTACAACCTCTCCCTTCTCTACAGATACCTCAACCACCCTCACACCACAGCTATCGGCTTCCAGAACAATGACAAGATAGCTTGGGTCGAGAGAATCATGGAGGTAACTGAACAAAATTCCTTTTTTTCCCCCTTCAAACCCTCTTTCCCGGACTCAATTTCCTATTCGCCCGCCATTTCAATTTCACCAGGGCGACAAGGACGATATCCGCAACGCTCTCTCAGTAATTTCGTCGAACACCTCGGCTGCATCCGTCCTGGCATCAATCTCCCTGACGCTCAGCTCCCTGATCGGCGCCTGGCTCGGTGGGAAATCCCCCAACGTCTTCCAGAGCGAGCTGATCTACGGCGACACGAGATCCTGCACGCTTTCCATGAAATACATCGGCCTGATGCTCTGTTTCCTCCTCGCATTCTCTTGCTTCGTCTCTTCGGCGACGCACTTCGTCCACGCCAACTACCTCATCAGCATCCCCAGCAGCGACGTCCCCGTGGAGAGCGTGGAGACGGCGGTGATACGCGCCGGCGATTTCTGGTGCCTGGGACTCCGAGCTCTGTACTTCGCGCTGAATCTGCTGATGTGGTTCTTTGGGCCTGTGCCCATGTTCGTTTCGGCAGTGATCACGGTGGCGATTCTCTGTTCCTCCGACACCAATTCCAAGCCGCTGCATCAACACTTGCCGGCACCGGCGAGGGCCCAGATGGTGAAAATGACTGCTCAGCCCAAAAGCCCGGTGAGCGCGGAGGTTTTGTAGTGAATCGGGCTAATAACAGAAAGGCCCAACCTCAAATTTACCCTTTTTTCCTCCTTTTGTGATGAAGACTTTTACATCCAATAACCCAAATCATGATCATGGCATGGCACCGAGTTGATGAATTTTTATTTTTTTTTTTTGTCATTCAACCGATCTCGAAAGAGATGGAGATAAGATCCAAACAAAGTCAATTACAAACTACGCAACCAAGACATATAATCGAACCTCGACAAGAGCCGAGGCGACAAACTCAGAGATTTCTTGGCCACTAAATGAGCCTCCCTGTTCCTCTGACGACCTACGACCGAGTTGATGAATTCTACATCATTGGGCTACTAAAAGCCCAGTGGGCTTCCTCCGTGAGGCATCGCGTGTCCGATTAATGGACCGACGTGTTTGGGCCTGGAGTTGGGTCCACTTGCCGACTTTTTGGACAGGAGGTCAAAAGCTGGATGGATTATTTTGCGTACTACTGGTGCATGTTGGTGGGAAAGGGAGAGGTGAGTGCAGAGAGAGCAGACACATGGGATGGAGGAGACGGGTTTAGGACCGTACGATCTAAGAGCGACGCTACCTTACTATCTATCTCATCAAAAGCCTTTGATTTTTAATTTCCCTCTCTCCCCGACAGTCTCTGATTGGACAAGGACCCGTCTAGTTCCTTTTGGCAAAATTACTCCCATTTTGTGGGCTCCATCTCTCTGCCCGTCCACTCATCTTCTGCCACGTCGATCCCATCCTCCTCTACCTAGGGATATGAAACACTTGCTCATCCTCCTCGCCACACATCTAGTGGCGAGAAAACGGGTTACGATTTTTCGGTTAAACCGGAAACTGATCGAATAACTAACTGTTGGCTAGCTCCAGGTCCAACTACCTGCTCACTCCACCTACCGTTAGTGCCCAGTCCACCCACCCAACCTTGTCTCGTTGTCCGTCGAGCACGGCACGCGCGCTCCGGTTCCATCCTTCCTCCTCATCCTCCTCCTCCTTGACTCGTCGTCAGTCGGGCATAGTGGTTGTTATTCCACTTACATCCTTCCTCCTTCCTTCCCCTTCATCTTCGCCCCCATCCAACGATTTCCCTCTACACGCATCAAATACTGATTTCCCTACTATGTAGATATGAACAACATCGAAGGAAGTTTTACTTTTCGTATATATATATAAAAAAAACCTTGTACATGATAATGAATTCGCTTCATACATATAGCTAACGCATATTCACACTCGGAGTCTCCTGATGTCTCTAATAGTGTTTGGATGGTGTAATCCATGGCTCATGCGTCATGACCATTGGATTCAAGGCAGTAACAAAATACGACGATGATCAAAGAATGTAGAGCACGTGATTTCAGTTATATCACAAATCACACGACGAAAATGTTATATATGCTTCGTCGTAACTAAACGGATGTTGGAATAATAGCGGGAGTGATTGTCGCCGACACCGAGACACACCTTGTTATCGAAGCTTCCTTTCAAAACAACATTCACAAATCACAACAAACTTCTATTTGATCCCATTATCTTTACCCTAACGATACTATCAAATTTTTTTTTTTTTTCCATATCGTTTCGTTACATATATGCATTGTTAGGTAGCAACTAGCAAGTAGATTTAATGGAGGAGGGAGGGAGAGAGAGCGTGCGTGCGCGCGTGAGGAGATGGTGATGGTGGGGAAGAGTGAATGACAAGACTAAAGTACGATGAAAGGCTGAGACAAAATAGGGACCGAGACAGCAAATGCCCCCCGCGGAAAAGTCGAGGGGTTTTGGGGGCAAGCCTGTGACCTGAGAGAGAGAGAGAGAGAGAGAGAGAGAGAGAGAGAGAGAGAGAGAGAGAGAGGAGAGAAAAAAGTCGGGGATGGAAGAAGAGTGAAGTGTGAAGTTACCAGCTTTAAGTCATCGTTTTGATGGGTGGTGGTGGTGAAATGGTGATGCTCGTCTTTCTGTCGTTTCACAGGTCCCATTTTCTGTCCTCTGTGCCAACTCTTCTCTGCTGCTTGCTTGCTGCTGTTCCTTCTCCCTCAAAGCCCAGTTTTTTTTTTTTTCTCTTTGATGGGATGGTCCATTTTGGTCGTCCGCGGGAAACCAGGGTCCCTCCATTTTTTTCCCATTTCACCTCCCCCTCACGCGCCCTCACTACTGTTTCTTATTGTACGCGCAACAACCGGAATACCAGGTTCACGCGAGCCTGCTTCTCTAGTATGCCGAAACCAATCAGCACGAGTGCTAACATCGTTGTATTGTGCGACTAAATCGCGCCCCTTAACTGGGGATCGTACCAGAAAACAGTGCAACAGCACCCGCGTTAGATTGACCAGGTTCCACAGAAGGGTCACATGCATAATATGGAGGGAGAAAGGAAAAAAAAAAGGCTACTCAAGTTCTCGTCGTGTACATTCAAGTTCCATCTTAAATAGAATTCTATCAGCATGTTTCGAATCTAGCTAGCAATACATATAATCTTTATGTATCTCCCGCATATTACGGGGGGGATCGTCAACGTCCTTATTGTAGTTACTATATGTGTATCTACTTTTTAAGGATGTTCTTGCCATATATATAATAATAATAATAATTCCCCTTTAAAATCTGGCCTAGGTGGTGATGGATTGGCAATGAGCGACAACGGACGGGCGGGTAAGTCAATACCAACACTCACCTCGTAACTAATACTCATCTTTCGTTCGGCACTATTTTGGTGGGCCTAGGTGGTGTAGGTCAGGTTGGGTAATACTCGTACGTGCAGAGTGCAGAGCAGGTGGGAAACAATACTCATGTCCCGTTCCGCACTGTTTTGGTTCTCGAGACATTCTTGTAGACAGCCAGAAGCAAGAACCCTAGAATGACGAACAGAAAGACGAGCAGAAGAAGAAGAAAATGGGATCGAGAGAAATGAAGGAGATAGTTCTTTTGATCTGATCTCTTTGATTTCCTTTAACTAAAAATGCACCAAGAGTTGGATCAAGGCCCACGAACGGAAGGAAAGAAATAGCATTTACTGGACAGATGGGCCCAAGTTGGTTCGGCCCACTCTTTGCTCTCTGCACATGGTCATCTTCTAAAAATGAAGATTCAGAGAAACAGAGGAGCTCCAAACCAAAACAGGGGAAGAGCTGATCAAGTAACCAAACCAGAACACAGCAGGAAATGTAAAGGAACACGAGCAATTTAACGAGGTTCCCCAAACTACCGGGTACGTCCTCGTCCTAGACTCAGTACTGCACTGAGGTCTAGGAGACTCTGTTTTTATTTAGTTTTTCTATCAAGCAAAGAAAACATAAACCGCAGACTCAAAGAACAGGAGAGTATACAACCCGGATCTTAATCCCCTGATCCGTTTACACCACTATTCAAACAGAACCTCTACCTCTGTTTGAATAACCCAGATTGTAAGCAGCCCTTTTCCACCCTTACAAAAAGTCCCCGCATTAGCAAAGGTAGCAGAGATATATATATAGCCTACAATTCCGACCGTTGCCTTTGAACGCTAAAGAGAATTGGATATGGAAACTCTGAGCTGTCCTTGATTGTCTTCTTACTTTCTTTGGGGCAACTCTGATTTGGTAACTTTGCTCAACAATCTCCCCTTAAATCAGAGATTGCCGATTGCCTGCAAAAGAAAAAGAAAACACACTTCCTCTTCGACTAGAAGAATCAAGTAGCTTAACAGTATATAAGATAATCAGCACTAGTCGAAAGAAGTGAGCAAGAGCAGCCAATATCCAAAAGAAAACAATCAACCAAAGACAGCCAGCATTCAGTACAGTAGCCCAAAACCAAGAGCAAACAATCCGGACAACACAAGCACACGTTCAAACAAAACAGCTCTCAAGCTCCCCTTAAAACGGATCCACACAGTGAACTACAGAAAAACTCCTTAAGCACCGTCACTGGCATCATCAGAACCATATTCAAGAAGAGCCTGGAGAGCTTCAACAAAGGGTTCCAGCCCAGGTCCATCGTCAGAGCTTCCACTGCTGCTGCTGCCGCTACTCACCCAGACAATATCATTATCATTATTCTCCCCTTCAACGGCAATCTCCAGAACATCCAGAACGTGATAAGCGGGGGGATACAAAGAAGGAGTCATAGTGAGGAACGGAGAAAGAGGAAGATGCAGTTCAAGGAGCAAGGAAGTGACAAGAGGACCGAAAGCAAGGGGACCATCGAGAGACGCATTACTGAAGCGGAGAAGGTTGCCAAAGACCAGGTGAGCATAGTCCAGTGGCACACCATGAACCGCATGGGAGATAATCCACAGATCGAGTGGGAGGACCAGGTCCAAGGAGTCAGCACGAGGAACGAAGACCCGAGTGATGCAATAGTGCAGCAACCGAAGTGAAGGCAGAAGCGACGTAACAGGCATGAGCAGACCATCACCAGGCAGCACACCAGTGAGCTGATGAAATTCATCAGCATAGTGAAAGGCAAACAGCTCTAGCTCAGAGGCATCAGCAAGGGCCTCTCCAACCCTAGGAATATGAAGAGTATCGGATAGGTCATCAAGGTGGAGAGTGAAGAGATGGCCGAACACTATGGATGAAAAGGTGCGGGAGGCCAGCCCGGGGGAGCGAAAATTTGAAAAGAAGTATCGGGCCAGGTCAGGGCAGACGAGAGAGGAAAAAGGCTGGTCCAGGAGAAATTCCCATCCTAAATTTCGAATAAACCCTTGCACATCAAGACCCAATTCCACAAGCTCAGGAAAGGGCACATGATAAGAGGGCAGAAAAGGGCGCGAAGCAAAGCTTTGAATGTGGCGATGATAATTGGAGGGAATGGGTTCGAAGAACAGGGTACCAGTGAAAGTCACTGCGAAAACCATATCTAAAGGAAGGGCGAGGGTCACTAGGAGAGGGTATGCAGAAACGGGGAGAAGAACCAGAGGTTAAATACTCAAGACAGACTCAAACAAGGCAAGCAAATAATGAAGCAAATCAAAGTAAATAAGACAAGTAACGATGCAATACTGACTAAAGACTCAACAGGAAAGAAAAAACAAAAAAAAAAGGCAAGCAGAATCAGTAAATTATGCCTCAAGAATCTCGGTGAGAGATGATAGAGATCTCAAACCGATTTCAAAGCACAGAAAGGTAAATCGATCAGCAGCCAAGGGTTTGGTAAAAAGATCTGCTAGCTGAAATTCTGTGGGAATATATTGTAAAGTAACTATATTATCCTGAACCAGATCTCGTATAAAATGATATTTGACCTCTATGTGTTTGGTACGAGAGTGTTGAACAGGATTTCTAGTCATACTAATAGCGCTAGTATTATCACAAAACAAAGGAATGGTGGAAATTGAAAGACCATAATCAGCTAATTGATTTCTAAGCCATAATAATTGAGTGCAAGAGCTGCCTGCAGCTATATACTCTGCCTCAGCTGTTGACAGAGCAACAGCGCCCTGTTTTTTGCATGACCAAGACACAAGGGAGAGACCAACAAATTGACAACTACCTGTAGTGCTCCTCCGATCAGTAAGGCTGCCGGCAAAATCCGAGTCACTATATCCCATGAGCTCAAACATGTCATGTTTACCATACCACAAACCAACATCTGGAGTGCCCTTAATGTATCTAAAGATACGTTTAACAGCCGTCAAATGACTCTCTTTTGGTTGAGACTGAAAGCGAGCACAGAGACAGACGCTATGTTGTATATCTGGCCTGCTGGCCGTCAAGTATAGCAAAGAGCCGATCATGCCTCGATAGAGAGATTCATCAACTGGGATTCCAGCTTCATCATTGTCTAGTTTCATGTTAGTCGCCATCGGAGTGGGACTCGAATTTAAGGCAGTCATATCGAATTTATTTAGCATAGTAGATATGTACTTGGATTGACTTATAAAGATCCCATGAGGAGTTTGTTTGACTTGCAGTCCTAAGAAGTATTGCAATTCTCCCATCATGCTCATCTCAAAGACATTTTTCATGGATTCACAAAAATCAGAACAAAGTTTGTCATTTGTGGAACCGAAGACTATATCATCCACATAGATCTGAACAAGCAGAATGTCATTGGATGCCTTTTTAATAAATAAAGTTTTATCAACGCTGCCTTGAATAAAGTCCTCCTCTTTGAGAAAGGTAGTTAATCGTTCAAACCATGCTCGAGGAGCTTGTTTGAGACCGTACAAGGCTTTGTTGAGTTTAAAAACATGATCGGGAAAACGATGATCTGTGAAACCAGGAGGTTGTTCAACATAAACATCCTCCTGAATGAGGCCATTAAGAAAAGCGCTTTTCACATCCATCTGATAAAGTTTAAAATTCATGTAGCTAGCAAAAGCACATAATAACCGAATTGATTCAAGACGGGCTACAGGCGCAAATGTTTCATCGTAATCAATCCCTTCTTCTTGCAAATAGCCCTGAGCCACTAATCTAGCTTTATTTCGAACAATAATACCTTCTTCATTTGATTTATTTCGAAACACCCATTTAGTTCCTAGAACAGTAGCTTCCAAAGGACGAGGAACTAAGTCCCAAACATGCAGATAGTCAAATTGATTTAGCTCTTCAGTCATGGCAATAGACCAACCATCGTCTTTTAAAGCATCTTTATAACTTTTAGGTTCTACTTGAGATATGTAAGCGTACTGACCTGGAGTGTATCTGTTTCCTCTAGTGCGAATTCCAGCATTGGCATCCCCTATTATTTGTTCTGCTGGATGGCGCTTCTGTATGTGTATAGGGGCAGTGGTCTGTGTTTGTATCTCAGCTGAACTTTCTGTGTTGTGATGAGTAATTGACCCTGCAAGTGAGCTCGTGTCTTGTTCAACTAAGATCTCATTAGAGTCTCTTGAGTCATCATGTGCAGCAGTGTTTTCACTCAGGACTTCTCTAGTCATCTCCAGAAGATCAAATGAAGACATTTCCTGTTCAGATATCTTAGAAACTAGATTAGTGTCATTGAATTTGACATGGACAGACTCTTCCACCTTTTTCGTTCGTTTATTATAGATCCGAAAAGCCTGCCCTTTCACCGAGTAACCTAGAAAGATGGCCTCGTCGGATCTGGCATCAAATTTTCCTAGATACTCTCTAGTATTGAGCACATAGCAAGGACATCCAAACGAGTGAAAATAAGCAATGTTAGGCACTTTATTTTTGAGAATCTCGTAGGGAGTTTTCAATAAACCTTTTCGAATAAGCACACGATTAAGAACGTAACATGCTGTACTAACTGCTTCTGCCCAAAAGAATTTTGGTAGGTTGTACTCAAGAAGCATGGTACGAGCACATTCAATAATAGTACGATTCTTTCTCTCGACAACTCCATTTTGTTGTGGAGTGCGAGGGGCAGAGAAGTTATGAGTTATCCCTGAATCATGGCAAAGATTCTCAAACTCTTCTGAAACAAACTCACCTCCGTTATCACTTCTAATGTTTTTAATTTGTCCTAAGAATTGTTTCACAAAGATCTGGAATTTTTTAACTGCCTCATCTTTGTGAACTAAAAAGTAAACCCAGGTATAGCGAGAGTAATCATCTACCAAGACTAGAACATAGTTTTTACCACCCAAACTGGTCACATTACATGGGCCAAAAAGATCCATGTGAATAAGCTCAAACAATTTTTTAGAGGTTATATCAGATTTGGATTTGAAAGACTTCTTCGTGTGCTTACCAGCAATACACACTTCACAAAAGAAATCAGATTTTTGTTTTAACACAGGAACACCTCGAACACAATCTGACTTAGATAAGCTAACTAACTTAGGCAAACTGATATGCCCCATTCTACGATGCCATAGATGCTCTTGCTGATGTGAAGCAACAAAACATTTTTCATGAAAGGCATCGAGATTATGAAAATCTATGACATACATATTGTTTTCCCGATTTCCCACGAGAAGAGTCTTATTATCAACTGTTCTTTCAACCACACAAGTGTCAGCTTTGAAAATAACTCGATTCCCATTACTGCAAAGTTGACTAATAGACAACAGATTGTGTTTTAGACCTTTAACAAGCAACACATCACGAAATGAGGGCAGAGGAAATCCACCTATAGTACCAATTCCTAGAATATGACCACATCCATTGTCTCCAAATAAAACCTTACCACCATCTTTAGGAGTCAGGGAAGAGAAAAGTTTTTTCTTACCGGACATATGGTGCGAGCAGCCGCTGTCTAAGTACCATTTATGTTCATTTTCATCTGGTAAGTTACCCTTAACTGTCGATTTATCTGTGATTGCCATAAATGCTTCCTCATCAGCTGACTCTTGTTCAATTTCTGAGTCATAGTCGCTCCAAGAAGCCTTCATTGCCCTTTCTCTGGCCTTCTGTGTCAACGGACAGTTTGCTCGAATATGACCCACCTTTCCACATTTATAGCAGGCTTGTGGTTCCTTGTCCTGCACACCTGTCTCAAATTTTCTGGTCTGCTGGAAGGGCAGCCTGGCTTGAGAGTTACTGTTAGTGTAATCAGGAACTTGCTTGCGTGAATCATCAGCTCTTAACTTTTTATCATTTTTGTATTTTAACATCCGATGGAATCGTTTACTAACTAGAGCAAACTCCCTGTCAAAGTCAGACTCTGAATCACTTTGCGATTCCTGAATAACAACTTTAGATTTAAAAGCTAAGTTTTTCTTGCGTTTTTCATCGTCTTGATTCACTTGTCTGATAACATTTTCATGACTCAATAGAGATCCGATTAGTTCGTTTATAGGCAGAGTAGCAAGGTTCTTTGCCTCTTCAATGGCAGTCCGCTTTGGCAGCCATTCTTTGGGTAAAGACCTAAGTATTTTCCTATTGAGATCCTTGGTTTGAAAGTTTCTTCCTAACCCTTTCAATTTGTTGATCAACACAGTGAATCTAGAATACATCTCATGAATGCTTTCATTATCTATCATACCAAAAGCTTCGTATTCATGAACAAGTAAGTCAATACGAGACTCTTTAATATTTGACGTACCTTCGTACGTGCTTTCAAGGGCTGTCCAGATTTCTCTAGCTGTTTCGCAATTCTCAACCTGGTCTGCTTCATCTGGATTCATTGCTGATTGTAACACATGCATTGCCCTTTGGTTGAGCTGTGCGCTTTTCTTTTGCGCAGCGGTCCACAAATGCTGCTCTTCTATCTTTGCGTCGATCGGCCCATTTTGAACGATTAGCCACAGCTCCTCATCAACACCCCACATGAATTGCTTCATCCTCTTTTTCCACGCGGTATAGTTTGATCCGGTGAAAATCGGAGGATGATTCAGTGCTGCCTGTCCGAAGGATGATGATGACATTTTGATCGATTCCTTGGCAGGAGATACCTACTTCAAGGACCTGCTCTGATACCAATTGTAGACAGCCAGAAGCAAGAACCCTAGAATGACGAACAGAAAGACGAGCAGAAGAAGAAGAAAATGGGATCGAGAGAAATGAAGGAGATAGTTCTTTTGATCTGATCTCTTTGATTTCCTTTAACTAAAAATGCACCAAGAGTTGGATCAAGGCCCACGAACGGAAGGAAAGAAATAGCATTTACTGGACAGATGGGCCCAAGTTGGTTCGGCCCACTCTTTGCTCTCTGCACATGGTCATCTTCTAAAAATGAAGATTCAGAGAAACAAAGGAGCTCCAAACCAAAACAGGGGAAGAGCTGATCAAGTAACCAAACCAGAACACAGCAGGAAATGTAAAGGAACACGAGCAATTTAACGAGGTTCCCCAAACTACCGGGTACGTCCTCGTCCTAGACTCAGTACTGCACTGAGGTCTAGGAGACTCTGTTTTTATTTAGTTTTTCTATCAAGCAAAGAAAACATAAACCGCAGACTCAAAGAACAGGAGAGTATACAACCCGGATCTTAATCCCCTG